TCTGCAGGTCCGTTCTTTAAATTACATAATTAAGAGTTTTTTACACTAACATGAAACTTTTTGATAAAATGGCCGATAACTCTGGCTTCTTTTAAATATGTTTCACAATAATTCTTAGAAACTTACTCTTTTGAATCATAAAATAATTTCACAAACTAACAATTATTATGTCTTTCCAATAGATTTAAGTTATTAATTTAAATGACGTTTCCTTTTGGAGATTTAGGTGAATCACCACTTATAGAGATGCTTCTTTAATAGTCAATAAAAGTTTATCTAGTCTTTTTTGATAAAAAGTATCTATGAAGAAAGGTTGGTAATTAATATCTAAATTTTCTTTCTGTATAAGTATTATTCAAAATAATCATAGTCATCTTCTAAATAAATTTATCATCAAAATAATAAATTGATTAATATTATTCAATGTTAATTTTGAATAACTCAATCAAATCCTAATGTGAAAATATCATTTTAAATGAAGAAGTTCTAGAGGATAATAATTCTAATTATAAATTTACATAAAGCATTTCACCATCGAAATAGTATATTCGTTCATTTCCTTTCTGATCAAAATTAAAATTATCTAATTTTTTATTAAAACTGTAATAAATTGATGTATGTACAATAAATTATTAATTTCTATTAATAAAGAATCTGTAATGATTAGAATTAAAATGATTTGTAAGATCTTTATGTTTACTCAATATCAAAGTTTTTAATTTTATTGCAGAAGGTAATTGGCAATTGACATAATGAGATTATTATATATATATAGGAGGTTTACTGTCTCTGATTAAAAATTCGTTTATTTTATAATTTAAGTGTTGTTTAATCTTAGAAAATTATTTAAGACTACCTTTTTCATAAATTCTATAGAGTGGAATTTGTTTTATCATATTAATTGCTTATAATATTTCCTAATTATTAGCCATGAAATCTGGTTCTTCTATTATTTATTTTCCTTGATATATATCATCATACTATTAAATTTAAGTTACAATGCTAATTTTAAATAATTATTCTAAGTTTTATTCTTTCTCATTAATAATTTTAGTATGTTTGACAAATTATTATTCAATAGGAGATATAGCATATAATTATATAGTTTTCTCTTCTTTTTATATCAATTTTAAAGACATTTTTTTAGTTTTCAATTGATTATCATTCTTCAAAATAACTTTATTTTAAATTAAGTCAATGTCAAAATAAGTAAACAAAAATAGACTCAATAATTCTTTTTAAGTATTTGAATAATCTGATTAAAAGAGCAGATTATGAATTAATGATTCAAATCTAATATGCTATAATTGTTAGGGATCTTTCTCAATATATTCTAATAATTAATGAAATAATGAAATTTATAGAGAATAAGGTTCTATAAATAAGTTACTTTTAATATTATCAACAGCTTTTTCCTTATTAAACAAAGTTGAAGACACTTTCAATTCAAAATATTATTTATTTATTTGTTATCCAAATACTTAAGGAATATTAAACGAGTTGCTTTTCTTGCCTTCTGGACTTAGTAAATCATTTAAATGATATTTTAAATCTCTAGATATTTCTATTTCCAGTGTTAGCAATACAAATTTCTAAAAGCATTTCTTAAAATCAGATTTATACATATCTTTAGATAATTTAATGACTGTTGAAAAAATCTTTTATGAATAACCTTTTAGATTAACTGATGGTCCTCCATCTATCATAAATTATCTAGAAGTACAAATAAACCTAAACAACAAAATACTATTTTTTATTTTCTATTTATTTACTAAGTATTCCTGTAATTCTTTATCTGTAATGTTATCAATTATATTTAATTATTTATTGTGAAAATTAATTTTTTCAATTCTTTTAATATGATATTCATAAGAGATTATCTTGTTAATCAAATTCATGTTGATGTATTTTACTGTTGTGTAATTAATGTTTGGTAAAATTTCATAAGCATAACCACATATCTTTTTTATTTTGCTTATTTATGATTAATGAAATTAGCAAAGATAACTTTGAACATAAGCACAACTATTAATATCTTCATTAGTAATTTTAACTTTTGCTCTTTAAGTAAGACCTGATATAAATGAATGCTTGTCTTTTTTAATATTGTTTGAAAGATCAAAATTAAAGATTTATGAATATTATTTAAATTTATCTAACTCTCTCAATGCTTCAGCAACTGTAGGCCAGATTGTGACTCCTATTTTCTCTCTTCCTTTTGAAACAACTGGAAGATCAAAACGATAAAAATTATAAGAATTACCTTCTTATGATGCATATAAAACTATAAAATTTTTATCTGCTGTTAAATCTTTATATTTAATTTTCCAAATTTAAATTTTATTCTAAAACAGAAGTTTATACTTTAAAGTTGGATAATATAAATGCTATTATTTTACTTATTATAAAGTTCCATATTTTTCCTAAAGATAAGTGATATCATCTGTATTATAATTTATAAGACTTAATTTTTTAGCCAAACATATAGCTTTAAAAAAACCAAATCCTTTCCCTTTTATTAAATCTTTCTAAGAGTCTTTTTTTTCATCAAATTCTCCTCTTGGTGTTGGTTAACTTTGAGCATTTGCTAACTTTTCAATATGATTACCAACCATATCAGGGGCAGTTTTAAATCTATTAAAATCCAAAAAATTTGTTATGGATTAAGGCTTTGATTATACAGGACCAAGGACTGTTTATTATTTCTCTTATTAACGCTTTTTTTTAAATACTCCCATTCGTATCAAGGATTTAATTTTATTGATATTTGTTCTGACTCTTTCACTAAAATTTGCTTTAAGTTATACAAACTAGGATTTTAGCCCTAATCTTGGTTTAATTGCAAAGGAATTTTATTTTGTAAATTTAGATCTTCTTTTTGTTTTCTTAATTAATTCTTTTATTTATAATTATCTATCACTTACAATTTAATAAGGTGGATCATCAACATATGTTAGTATTTTTAAAAAGTGTTTTGTAATTAGTTTTGGTAATTTTTTTCCACCAGGTGATTCTAAATGAAAATATCTTAAATTAAATAGAACAACTAAACTCATGATGCTAATTTTTGGTTTTGGTGTAGACAAAGCTTAAGACATAAATTTTGTTGGTTCTTTAGATGTTAGTTTGCTATCCAATACTTCTTAGATGATTTCTTATTTTCTAAGTGGAGAAAATTCCTCTTATTTACTTTGTCTCTTAGTCATAGGAACAGAAGTAATAATATTTTTATAAATCTTCCCAACTGAAGGTTTTTAATGTAATGGCTTTCGCTTTTAAAAAGATTTAATCTTATAATTATCTACTTCCAACCACATTTCTTTGCTAAGTATAGATTCAGGTTAAAACTAACTAGGTGGTCGGCTTACTGAAGCTTATCTACTGTGGAAAGTCGATTTAACCACCCTTTCTGATTACTTAGTTAAATCTAGTTAAATCTATTAGATTTGTTAAGCATTATATAAACTTGAAATAGATTCATAATGAGTGTCTCTTTTAAATGTAGAAGATTATTTCAAATTTTCCTCTGAAGATAAAAAGCTAATTAATGATCTAGCTACCTTATGATTAGGTTTTTAATCAAATCTAAAAATTTTTCTTTTAAATAATCCTTTCCCTAACTTTTCATAATATTTATCCATCATTTCAAAAACTTATTCGTATTTCTTGGCTAATTATTAATCAATTGACTATTAAGGTTTCTTATAAAATTGCTGAGATATTTACAGTAATATCTAAATCTCATTAAATAAATTTTCAGCTAAGCTTGGAGCTATTCCTCTACTGATAGGATATAATAATTTTATCTCAAAATAAATAAACTAAAAGAAATCCTCTTTAGGCATATTTGCACATGCTTTAACTGAATCTATCAATTTTGGAGACAAATATACAACATTCTCTTAAGCATTTAACAAATGCATCTCAGTTACAAATGATTTAAGATTATACATTGTATAATATTCGTGTTTAATATTCATTAAAAAATGAATAGATTGCTATTCTTCTCCCATTAAATAGGTTTGGTAAGCTTAAAATATTAAAAATTTCAGTCTTATTAAAGTATTTTTAAATTATGAGAGTTAAGGGAGTATTACTTAATCAAAATAATACAATTGTTTCTTCATCGATTTTTATTTAAGCTATTTATTTTTCAAGATAGCCCATTTTAACCACAAATCCATAACTGAATTCGAAATTTGATATTTTTAATAAAATAGCTTATACTTTTTCATTTTATCTATACTTTTTCCATTCATAAGAGTATTTGTAATTTCATTAAGATCTAACAGCATTCTTGCAATCAAAACTCTTTATAATTATTCTGATTGAACATATTCTATTCTGGGAACCATAAAATTTTCTAATACAAACTATTCAAAACCTAAATTTTTCCTTTAATTAAGTTTCTTCATATAGCCCAAACTTTCAAGTTAAAGTAATTTAGTTTCTTTTTAGAATAAGTGGCTGAAATTTAGGCATTATAATAAATAGTAATTCATTTATTAAATAATAAAGTGGAGAATATAAAATTAAAAACAAATCAAAGTAAAGCAGACTAAATAACATAACTTTTAGTAAGATTGAAATTATTTCAATTCAAGAATTAAATTACTTCCTTTGTTCTCCATGAAACTACCCTTTTCATTCCAAAATTACTTAGAATTCAACCTATATAAATGATTTACTATTTTCACTAATTCAAATTGATTATAAATAGACATGCTTATAGTACATTTTAATAAATATAAATAAAATGATTAAGTAGAGAAAGTATTCTAGGATATATGTAAAGATGAAATAATGAATCAAATTTATAGATATTTATATCTCAGATTAAGTTATAATAATTATTTACATTTGTTATTTCTTATCAATAAATTTGATGTTTATCAGATTTGAGTAATTATAATTGAAACTCTTTTAAAGATTTTACAAAATGGATGTAAAATTGGGAAATAAAAAGAATTAATGTAAAGAAAATTTAAATATATTATTTTGTGATTTTTCATAATGTCTGAATAGCCTTAACCAGATGGAACTTAAAATGATTATATATAATCATTAAGAGAGGAAGAAAACTTCCTTATGATAAAATATAATGAAAAAAGGGAAAACGAAAAGATGCAAATGGAAGAAGCTGCAAAAAAAATTGTTCAAATTGATCCTATAACTCAAAAAAAGTTTGATAGACCTACAAGAGCAGGTGGTGTTTATGTACCTCCACATAAGTTGAGGGAAATGGAAAACGAAATAAAAATGAGTAATAAAAATAGCGTTGAATACCAAAGATTAATGTGGGAATTGTTAAGAAAATCAATAAATGGTATTATTAATAAGGTAAATATTACAAATATTTAAAATATCATTGTTGAATTATTTAATGAAAATATTTTAAGAGGTAGAGGATTATTGGCAAGAGCAATTATAAAAGCATAAATGGCATCACCTAATTTTACAATGGTTTATGCTGCTTTAATTTCTGTTATCAATACTAAATTACCAGAGATAGTTAATTTGATAATAAGAAGAGTGATTGTATAATTTTAAAGAGCTTACAAAAGAAATAATAAAATAGTATGTATGGCAATTACAAAAATGATTGCCCATCTAATAAATTAAAAAGTTTTAAGTGACTTAGTTGGATTAGAATTATTATATATACTTTTAGAGAGTCCCACTGAAGATTCTGTAGAATTAGCATGTGATTTTACAATAGAATGTGGATAAGTTATGAGTGATATTGCTCCATAAAATGTTTCCACAATATTTGAAAGATTTAAGGGAATATTGCATGAAGGAACTATAAGTAGAAAAGTTTAATACAGAATTGAGTAATTATTTGCAACTCGAAAAACTAAATTTGTTGATCATCCAGGAGTTATTCCTGACTTAGATTTAGTTGAAGAAGATGATTAGATTACACATCAAATAGATATAGTTGATGAATTAGATGCAGAGGATAATCTAAATTTGTTTTAGTATGATCCATTTTTTGAAAAAACAGAGAATGAATGGGAAGAAATCAAAAAAGAAATATTAGGTGAAGAAAACATTATTATGTTAAAAACTAAATAATAAGTTGATTTCATGCCTGAGATAGAAGAGGAATAAGAATAAGCTAAAGATTTTACAGAAAGAGATCTTTTAAGTTTAAAGAGAGTTATATATTTAACAATCTAAAGTAGTGTAGATTATGAAGAATGTTTGCATAAAATAATTAAAATGTAAACAGGGATTGGTCATGAAGATGAAGTTTGTAATATGATTATTGATTGTTGTATGCAAGAAAGAACATATTTAAGGTTTTTTGGACTTTTGGGATAGAGATTATGTGAAATTGCTGAAATCTTCAGAGATAATTTTATGAAATGTTTTGTAGAGAAGTATGCTACCATGCATCGTTATGAAACTGCAAAAATTAGAAACATTNAAGATTAATGTGGGAATTGTTAAGAAAATCAATAAATGGTATTATTAATAAGGTAAATATTACAAATATTTAAAATATCATTGTTGAATTATTTAATGAAAATATTTTAAGAGGTAGAGGATTATTGGCAAGAGCAATTATAAAAGCATAAATGGCATCACCTAATTTTACAATGGTTTATGCTGCTTTAATTTCTGTTATCAATACTAAATTACCAGAGATAGTTAATTTGATAATAAGAAGAGTGATTGTATAATTTTAAAGAGCTTACAAAAGAAATAATAAAATAGTATGTATGGCAATTACAAAAATGATTGCCCATCTAATAAATTAAAAAGTTTTAAGTGACTTAGTTGGATTAGAATTATTATATATACTTTTAGAGAGTCCCACTGAAGATTCTGTAGAATTAGCATGTGATTTTACAATAGAATGTGGATAAGTTATGAGTGATATTGCTCCATAAAATGTTTCCACAATATTTGAAAGATTTAAGGGAATATTGCATGAAGGAACTATAAGTAGAAAAGTTTAATACAGAATTGAGTAATTATTTGCAACTCGAAAAACTAAATTTGTTGATCATCCAGGAGTTATTCCTGACTTAGATTTAGTTGAAGAAGATGATTAGATTACACATCAAATAGATATAGTTGATGAATTAGATGCAGAGGATAATCTAAATTTGTTTTAGTATGATCCATTTTTTGAAAAAACAGAGAATGAATGGGAAGAAATCAAAAAAGAAATATTAGGTGAAGAAAACATTATTATGTTAAAAACTAAATAATAAGTTGATTTTATGCCTGAGATAGAAGAGGAATAAGAATAAGCTAAAGATTTTACAGAAAGAGATCTTTTAAGTTTAAAGAGAGTTATATATTTAACAATCTAAAGTAGTGTAGATTATGAAGAATGTTTGCATAAAATAATTAAAATGTAAACAGGGATTGGTCATGAAGATGAAGTTTGTAATATGATTATTGATTGTTGTATGCAAGAAAGAACATATTTAAGGTTTTTTGGACTTTTGGGATAGAGATTATGTGAAATTGCTGAAATCTTCAGAGATAATTTTATGAAATGTTTTGTAGAGAAGTATGCTACCATGCATCGTTATGAAACTGCAAAAATTAGAAACATTTCTAAATTCTTTGCTCATCTCTTTTTTACAAATGCTATTGATTGGAGAATCTTAAAATGTATATCATTGACATAAGAAAGTACTACCTCATCAGGTAGAATTATGATTAAATGCTTATTCTTGGAATTAGCTGAAAATATGAGTTTGCCTGTATTAAAATCAAAATTGATGGATCCAGAACTCAAAGATTATCTTGCAGGTCTATTCCCAGTTGATCATCCAAAAAATACAAGATTTTCTATTAACTTTTTCACTAGTATTGGATAAGGTTTATTAACAGAAGAGTTGAGATAGATATATGAATAGTAAAACAAAATAGAATTTTAGCATGCTCAAGAAGTAATTGAAATATTTTAATTTATAGGCTTTAAAATAATTTGGAACTTCTGCTGAAGAAGATAGTGAGAGTGATGAAAGTGATAGTAGTGAGGATTCATCATCAGATGATAGCAGTGACAGTGATTCATCAAAGAATAAATAAAAAAAGACTCAACAAGATAAAAAAAAAAAGGAAGATGAAGATAATAAGGCTCCAATTAATAGTGCTAAAGAAAAAACAAAAGATAAGGAAAGAGGAAAATTAAAAGAAAAGGAGAAGTAGAGAGAAAAGGAAAAAGAAAGAGAAAAGGAGAAAGAAAGAGAAAGAGAAAAAGAAAAAGAGAAGGAAAGAGAAAAAGAAAAAGAAAAAGAAAAGGAAAGAGAAAGGGAGAAAGAAAGAGAAAGAGAGAAAGAAAGAGAAAGAGAGAAGGAAAGAGAAAGAGAAAGAGAGAAGGAAAGAGAAAGAGAAAGAGAAAAATAAAAGGAAAGAGAAAGAGAAAGAGAAAAGTAAAAAGAAAAAGAAAAAGAAAGAAAACGAGAAAAGGAGAGAGAAAGAGAAAGAGAAAGGGAGAAGGAAAAAAAATAAAAAGAAAAAGAAAAAAAGGATCAGAAAAAAAAAAATAAAAGTCCAAGTCCTAGTCCTAGTCAAAGTGAAAGTTTAAGTGATAGTAGAAGTAGAAGCAGAAGCAGAAGTAGAAGTGCAAGTGCTAGCAGTAGCTAAAGTAGTAGCAGTAGCAGCGAAAGTAAACCTTAGCATAAAAAACATAAATGAATTTATTAGCTAAATTATTTTTTAATTTGAAAATATTCTAACCTTATTATGTAAGCAGTCTATTTATAATCCATAATTCAAAAATGAGTTAATAATTTCAAAGATGTTTAAGAATTAAATAAGATTTTAATTAAAACGTCAACTTATAAATCATTAAAGGGTTTTTAATCTAAATGTAGATAAAGTAGGGAAAATATCTTGATAGTATATTTAATACAATACTTGATGACCCAAAAAATTTTGCCATTTAAGAGTCTGTTCTAAGATTAAATTTAGGAGTAACCATTCTCATCTGTTTATTCCTTCTTTTTTAAATTAAAGCCTGGATATTTTCCTGCTTTGCCTCATGTATTTAATGTAACTGGCTCATAGGAAGACTGCTTAAAATCTTATTGAGAGTATAATTTGCTCTATTAAAAGAACCTGATGAGATCTAATTACTTCTTTCTTTATACTATATACCTCTCTAATTATGCAGTTTAAAACCTGCTCATAGAAAATGGCCTTCTTTTTATCATCTTCTATTGTTATCTTTTTAGATTAGCTAAAAATATTAACAATATTACGCTCAGCCTTATTATTGTTTTGGTTGATATTAGGTTAATTGAATTCTTGATGAATTTCAGTTTTCTTTTAATTCTTACGATGTAATAACTCAAAATATTATGGAATACGAAATTAAGTAAGTTGTTAAAATGATTAACTATACGGTATAGGTATGTTTGAGTAATCCAAATATTTTCCATCTTCTTACAAAATCTTTTTGTTAGCTTCAATTAATTCAGCGTAAGGTGAACTAGGTTTTTTTCTCATAATAATTAATTAATTATAATGATAACAAGACTTGTTATAAATAGTAATATAATAACAAAAAAATAATATTAACATCTAATCAACATAATTATATAATTCTCCTTACCTAACAGGATTAATCAAAATTCCCTTTATTTAAATCAAAGAATGGATGGAAAAAATAAAATATTATATAATACTTTGGTTGGAAATTGAGAAGAGATTATTACCAAAATGCAATTAAATGAAAATCAAAATATTTAAATTCTTCAAGTTTTTAGAAAACATTAAGTAAGAAGTAATATTAAAAAAAACCTAATAATAATGATGAATATTTAAAGAAAGGGTAAAGAATGTTATTTTTTTTAATTAGATTAATTGTTAAAATTAGTGTTGATTATTACATAATAATAAAGAAATGATTAAGAATATTTTATTATATAACACTTAAATAATGACCATGAAT